AATACAGAGGCCACCACAAAGGCATTCCTCAAGAAGCACAACCCCAAGGCACATAATCGTTAGATTCACCAGGGTTGAAACGAAGGAGAAAATACTAAGGGCAGCCAGAGAGAAAGGTCAGGTTACCCACAAAGGGAAGGCTATCAGACTTACAGCAGATCTCTCAGCAAAAACTCTACAAGCCAGAAGAGAGTGGGGGCCAATATTCAACATCCTTAAAGAACAGAACTTTCAGCCCAGAATTTCATATCCAGCCAAACTAAGCTTCACAACTGAAGGAAAAATAAAATCTTTTATGAACAAGCAAGTACTCAAGAGATTTTATTACCACCAGGCCTGCTTTACAAGAGCTTCTGAAAGAAGCATTTCACATAGAAAGAAACAACCAGTATTAGCCTTTCTAAAAATATACCAAAAAGAGCATCAACATAAAGAAGAATTTACATCAATGAATGGATAAAACAGCCAGTTAACATCAAATGGCAGTAATCCTAAATTTAAATAGACTAAATCCCTCAATCAAAAGATACAGCCAAAACCCAATGGTATGCTACATCCAGACCCATTTCACATGCAAGGATACACAAAGACTCAAAACAAAGGGATGGAGAAAGATTTACCAACCAAATGGAGAACAAAAATAAATAAATAAATAAAAAGCAGGAGTTGCAATTCTCGTATCTGATAAAATAGATTTTAAAGCAACAAAGATATAGTGGTAAAAGCATCAATGCAACAATAAGAGCTAACGATCCTAATACCCAGATATATAGAGACTTAGACTCAATGAGACAGAAAATTAATAAGGATATCAAGGACTCGAACTCAGATCCGGAACAAGTAAACTTAATAAATATTTATAGAGCTCTCCACTTCAAATACACAAAATATACATTCTTGTCAATACCACATCACACCTACTCATAGGTTTAAATGAAATATTGATTGGCCATTATTAATACCCATTTTTTTTTTTTAGAATAAAGCAACATTTCCATTTCTCTCCCTCTTTTTCTTCCTCTTTCTTCCTCTCCTTCGCTTTTTTTTTTTCTTTCCTTCTCTCAAAAAAAAAAAAAAAATACAAAAATTAGCTGGGCACAGTGGTGCACGCCTATAATCCCAGCTACTCGGAAGGCTGAGGCAGGAGAATTGCTTGGATCTGGGAAGCGGAGATTGCAGTGAACCAAGATTGTGCAATTGCACTCCAGTCTGGGCAACAGAGCAAGCTCCATCTCAAAAAAGAGAAAACAAAACAAAAGAACAGCAAGTTAGCAAGTTACCAAGTCCAATCCAAACATAAGGGCAGGAAAATGAAGCTCCACCTCTTGAAGGAAAGTGTGTGGACATATTTTAAAACCATCACAGTCCACCTTCTGGCCCCAAATTGCTTACCTTCTTCCTTACATGGAAAATATACTTCCTCCCTCCCAAAACTCTATAAAAGTCTCATCTCTTTATAGCATTAGCTCAATATCAAAGATACTAGCATCTAAAACAGGTACATGTGAAGTCCAAAAGTGTAGTTTAAGTACAGTTCCTTTAGATCTGTAGGCCTGTGAAATGAAGACAAATTATCTTCCCTCATACATCTAACATACAATTTGGAACAGGCATACTGTTATAGACGTTTTGTTCAAAAAGGGGGACATATAAGAGGTACAAGTGGGTCATCAGTCAATGGTAATTCTGAAATCCAACCAGGCATTTATTATCTTACAACTTCTGTGCATGAGGAATCTGGGTTAAGTCTAGATGGCTGTTTGTCTCACAATCAGCCATTCAAGGTATCAACCAGAGGTGTAGTATCCATTTTCAAGATGACTCCCTCACGCATACAACTGTTGGCAAAAGGCCTCAGCTCCTCACTGTGTGAAACTCTCCACAGAGCTGCTTGAGTGTCCTTGCAACATGACAGCTGGCCTCTCCCAAAGAGACAATGAAGTTATAGCTGCAATGTCATTTATGACCCAGACTCAGAATTCTTTTTTTGAGATGAGAGTCTCACTGTCACCCAGTCTAGAGTGAAGTGGCACAACCTTGGCTCACTGCAACCTCCACCCTCCAACTTCAAGTAGTTCTCCTGCCTCACCCTCCTGAGTAGCCAGGGATTACAGGCACCCACCACCCAAGCCTGGCTAATTTTTGTGTTTTTAGTAGAGATGGGGTTTACCATGTTGGCCAGGCTTAGACTCAGATTCTAACACTAACCTACCACATTCTATTCACTGGAGTCAAGAAATACTGTCTATGCTTAAAGAAAGAGGAATTAAGTTCTATCTTTTAAAGGGAAAAGTACTGAAGAATTTGTAGACAGATATTAAAATTCCCACACTTCTTCACCCATGATAAACATTTTTTATTTTTTGTAGAGTTGGGCTCTCACTATGTTGCCCAGGCTGGTCTCAAATTCCTGGCCTCAAGTGATCCTCCTGTCTCAGCTTCCCAAAGTGCTGGGATTATAGGCATGAGCCATGGCCCTGTTTATTTTATTTTATTTTTTTTGAGACAGAGTTTCGCTCTTGTTACCCAGGTTGGAGTGCAATGGTGCCATCTCGGCTCACCGCAACCTCCGCCTCCTGGGTTCAGGCAATTCTGCCTCAGCCTCCCGAGTAGCTGGGATTACGGGCACATGCCACCATGCCCAGCTAATTTTTTGTATTTTTAGTAGAGACGGGGTTTCACCATGTTGACCTGGATGGTCTCGATCTCTTGACCTTGTGATCCACCCGCCTCGGCCTCCCAAAGTGCTGGGTTTAATTTTTTTTAAACAAATATATATTACTTTCATAATATAAAAACAAAATGAGAGCTGGGCGTGGTGGCTCATGCCTGTAATCTCAGCACTTTGGGAGGCTGAGGTGGGCAGATCACCTGAGGTCAGGAGTTCAAGACCAGCCTGACAAACATGGAGAAATCCCATTTCTATTAAAAATACAAAAAATTAGCCGGGCGTGGTGGCGCATGCCTATAATCCCAGCTACTCGGGAGACTGAGGCAGGAGAATCGCCTGAATTCAGGAGGCAGAGGTTGCAGTAAGCCAAGATCACGCCATTGTACTCCAGCCTGGGCGACAGAGCAAGACTCCATCTCCAAAAAAAAAAAAAAAAAAAAGAGTATTCTAAGGGAGGTACAAACGGCTTATCCCTAATTCAAGGAGTAATAGCCATTGCACATTTTGATTTTATTTTTGGGATGAAGTCTTGCTCTGTCACCCAGGCTGGAGTGCAGTGACATGATCTCAGCTTACTGCAATTTCTGCCTCCTGGTTCAAGCGATTCTTCTGCCTCAGCCTCCCAAGTAGCTGGGACTACAGGCGCCCACCACCACGCCCAGCTAATTTTGTATTTTTAGTAGAGACAGGGTTTCACCATATTGGCCAGGCTGGTCTCGAACACCTGACTTTGTGATCCACTCACCTCGGTCTTCCAAAGTGCTGGGATTACAGTGAGCCACTGTGCCCAGCCTGATCATTTTTAAAAAAATAAAACAATGAAATTTTTCATCTATAAAACCAGGATAACGACAGAATCTACTTTATTGAATTTTGGTGAGTACCTGCCATTGATAAGGTGTATAAAGTCCCAGCAAAGTGCCTGACACTTAGAAAGCACTCAATAAAGATTGGGTAATATTATTATTTATATACCTCTTTTCTTCCCTATAAGACTGTGAGCAACTTGAGAGCAAGAATCCTGCCCCTGGTGTCTATTTTGAGCCTGTTTTCTACACAGAAAATGGATATCCTTAAATTATCTACCACATAGAATTGTACCAAACAAGATAACATATCTAAAATACTTAGCACCAGCATAAAATGTTCAATAAACAGGAACGATTATTATCTCACACCTCTGTTTCTTTATAATGACTGAAGAGCATCCTGCCTAGGTGACAGACCTGACTGTGACTGTCAGCTCCTAGTTGGGCAGGCCTAGGTTAGTTACTCAACCTCAGTTTCCTTATTCCCAGAAAGAATGAGGATACATATAACCCAAACTCAGTATCTAATGCAGTATCCGGCACCCAGTGACTGCTCAATAGATAGGAGGCCAGCTCCGCTTCCCATAGCTTCTACTTTTCCCCTCAAAGTTACCGGTTCTGGGCAGGTAGATGGCCTGCAACCTGGCAAATTGGGTGGAAACAGACCCTGGGGTGAGAATTTCCCAAATTTGCATTCGCATCCATCTCCCAATCCTCCAGCCTCTACTAGGACGTCGTGCAGGGACTCTGGGCTCCTGGGGAGCGTGCTCAGAACGAACTTTCCCTCCGCCTCTCCCACACCTGAACCTCGCCGCCCGGCCACGCACCGCTCCTCCCCGCCCCTCCACAGCACGCGCTTCCTTCCGCCCCCCACCCCTCCCTGTAAGGTTAGCCGAGAAAAAGAAGAGACCCAAAGTCAGGCAAGCAAGTTCAGTTAACCCCATAACAATCAAACGAGGGGTTTATATGGGGTGAGAGGGGCATAAGGGAGTTTCAGGACTGAGATAATCTATCAGCTTGTGACAGGCACAGAGATAGTTTGCTACCCTTGTGACAGACGTGGAATACCTTATCCTGTGACTTTTGTGGGGGCAGTTTTTAAAAAAACAAAAACAAAAACAGGATTTTACAGGTATGTGTAAAACAGGAATTTACAAGTATGGATAACAAACACTTGTTTTCCCTGTCCTCCCCCCGAGCTGCCCAGATGGCTGTAATCAGGCTTCGCTTAAATGTAGCACCCTAGATCGGCGTTCAGGAAAGCAGCTGCAGAGCAATCAGTGAGGGGAGTCAGCTGGCGCGGAGGGGGTTTTCCGAGGCAGCTCCTAACACTCTCCAAACCCCATTTTCCAACCTTCTTCAGACCCCAATCCCTCTCGCCTGTGAATCCCCAACACTGTTCCCTTCTCTGTCCCCGACTTCGCCTCCATCACCTCCAGGTGTCCCCCAAACTCCTCCCGTCTTACGCCTCCAGGCCCTGCCGGTCCCCCCCGACGCCCTCTCATCCCCCAGCGTCCCACCTGCACTTTCCGCCTCTTCAACGCCGCCGCGTCCAGCCAGACACCGCAGGCCTCCTCTTCGGGGCCTGTCCGCCTCATGGTCGCCGAGGAGAGTAAGCCAGCAAGATACCAGCGCGGGATCCCGACGCCTCAGGGAACCACAGAATCGCTGCCGGCGACGTTCGGATCTCGCGCCAACGCTGGGGGCGGGACTACGCCGCTGCCGTCCAGGTCGCTAGCCCGGCCCCGGAAAGGTCCCGCCCCCTTCTCTTTGCCCCGCCCACCGCTAACTTCTGCCTCGGGTCCTAGAGTGCGTGCTGTGTCTTTCCCTGCGCCAAGGAGTGGGTGTTATTTCTGATCTGCTCATTCAAGACCGGATTCCGGAAGCTGCTGTGTCTTTCCCTGCGCCAAGGAGTGCGTGTTCTTTCTGATCTGCTCATTCAAGACCGGATTCCGGAAGCTGCTATGTGAACGGTTCTCAACAGCCTCAGAAATTTGCATTTTCTTTTTGCTGCATTGAAAATTTCTTACAGTAAATATAATAACTACCCCGGGTTTAGGGCTTTGCTTGTGTCATCCCTGAATCTTCGCAATCACCCCAAGAAGGAAGCTGCGGAGCGGAGATCAGGCCCGCCGACCCCACACCGGGGGTCCTTTACCTAAATGGTTACAGACACTCGAGGGTACGAACTACTTAGGTAATTTTTTTTTAAATGTAAGCGTTAACTACGAGGCCACATGGAAGAGGATTTTGAAGAAGTTAAAATTTGGGGTCAAGAGGCATTCAGTCCTGCTTTCACCGTTTATTGTGTCGGATTTTAAAGAGGGGTCAAATGAGTTTTGTGAATTTAGAATTTAGAAAACCCCTTGTGAATTTAGAAAACCCCTTGGAAATGCAAAAATGCTGGCACCCCACCCATCCTTCCGTTCCTAACCACAATCTCCATAGATGAAATATGTATATATTGTATGTGATTTTTACATATTGTATATTTTAATATATCAAAAACATAAAAAAAATTTTTTTGAAAGGGTCAGAAACTCAGCCACCTCCTGCCCAATCTACCGCAGATGGGCCAGGAGCCTGAGCCATCTCTGCAGCCAGAGCCTGTCTTCACCACGGACGGAGCCCTCTCGCTCCGTCACCCAGGCTGGAGTAACAGTGGCACAATCTCAACTCACTACAACCTCAGCCTCCTCGGCTCACAAGATCCTCCCACCTCAGCCTCCCAAGTAGCTGGGACTACAGGTGTGTGCCACCACGCCCAGCTAGTTTTTGTATTTTTAGTAGAAATGGGTTTTTGCCATGTTGGTCAGGCTGGTCTCAAACTCCTGCCCTCAAGTGATCCACCTGCCTCAGCCTCCCAAAGTGCTGGGATTACAGGCATAAGCCACCACACCCGGCCTATATCAAAATATTTATTTATATACACATGTTTTACGTGTGTGTATGTCTCATAAGGTCCTCCATGATATTTTAGCAGTGAAATGATATTTCTAATTAATGTGGGTCTTCTTCTTATCTTCCTAATTTTCCTTCATTGTATATATATTGCTGTGTACTATGGAAAAAGCAGTATTAGAAGAGTTAACATAAAATACTCCTTTGGAGTGCATGTGAGGGGCCTCAATATGTGTGATAGAGTGTGCACACTCTTGCCCCCTCCATTAAAAAACAAACAAACCCTCCTTAATTGAAGGAAAAAAAAATCTTTGCAGATTATAAAGTGAGATTATGTATATTTTAAACACATTAACGACTTCTAAAACTTTAGTAATAAAACTGCCCCCTACGCTCTTGCCAAACAAATTTCGTATATATAGATATGGTATATAAGGCCCCAATCCCGTCCCCCAGCAAAGATAAACAAGAACTGCTCCCTCCACCCTGTGTCCACTCCCAGGAGCCCCAGCTTCCTCTGGAAAACTTCCTCCAGTAGTGTGAGCAGGGACCCCTCCCTGAAACAGGAGACAAAAAACAGGGGCAGCTACTGTCACAGTCACTTTATTGCATCTAAGCCATAATCCACCCCAGCCCCACTTTTCCTTCCACAGCTCTGGGTCTCTGCACAGGTTTCCCTCTGCCTGGAATGCCCTCCTGTTCTCCATCTGCAAACACCTATTCACACTCCCCAACCCAAGACCCTGAGGTCTGGTTATTCCTTCCTCAGCGCTTCCCTTGACAGTTCATTCTGATATCAAAGCCTTTGTCTGCCTGGCGCAGTGGCTCACGCCTGTAATCCCAGCACTTTGAGAGGCCTAGACAGGCAGATCACCTGAGGTCAGGAGTCTGAGACCAGCCTGACCAACATGGAGAAAGCCCATCTCTACTAAAAATACAAAAAATTAGCTGGGCGTGGTGATGCATGCCTGTAATCCCAGTTACTCAGGAGACTCAGGCAGGAGAATCACTTGAACCTAGGAGGTGGAAATTCTGTGAGCCGGTATCACACCATTGCACTCCAGCCTGTGCAACAAGAGGGAAACTCCATCTCAAAAAAAAAAAAGCCTTTGTCATCTTGCATTGATCCACAGGGTCCAGCAGTCACCTGCCTCTGAGCAGAGGCCCAGGAAACACCAAATGGATAAAGGAATTCTTAAAAATGGAACTAGGAGAGAAGCTGGGAACAGGCTGTGTAGGACACAGAAGCCAGAGCTAGAAGATCTGGGACTCACTGTCTGGAATGGTGACTGAAGCGGTATAAGCACTGGAGGGACCCATTTGTATCTGGCACAATCTACTACCTTGGGGTCTCTCTGCAGCTCCAATACCTGTAGCTGGGCTTCAAGGGGCAGTAAGATCCTGCATCTATTTTGGGCCTGCCCCGTCTGCATCCAGCAATGAAATCTGAGTAGAGGTGGGTTGCCAAGGCCTCCTCTGCCTCAGCTCAAATCTGACTCTGGCCTAAGTTTTACCTCCTGCCCAGACAATCTAGAAGCCCCAGTCCTCACTAAGTAATCCCAGTGAGTGGCAGTTGAGGGGCAAGCTGGAGTGGCCCACACTTTTAACTTTTTCCTTCTCCCAGGACAAGGGGCTGGGCAGGCCCAGGAGTGGACCCCAGCAGCTCCCAGCCAATCCCTAAATCCAAGAATTGGTCAGTGATGCCCTTGGCATTGAGTCGTGCATAGAGTCACCATGGGCCAGACATAAACAACTTTACTAGGACTTGTTTCCACCTGGAGCCAAGTGCAGACCCCTGTCCCCCCACTCTACCTCCCTCCCTACCAGATGCCATCCCCCTTCACTTGGTCTTCTGATCAAGTTTGCGCTGTACCAGCTGGCTCAAGAGGAATGCAGTGAGGATGCTGCTGCCCACCGTGAGCAGGAAGAGGCCAGAGAAGTTCTGAGGCCAATGCATGTGCAGAGGCTCATAGATGGGCCGTCGGGCCTGATAGTCCAGTGCCACAGCCTCCAGCTGAGCCAACGTGCACAGCACCAAGAAGATGTGGAAAAGTTGGTGGCCCTGCCCAAAGACATGGCAGCTGCCGGGGAACCAGCGCTCGGGCATGAAGGTAGAGAAGAAAGCAGCAGCCAGCAGAAAGAAGACCACCTGGCACTTGTGGTAGAGAAGAGCTGGGTCATCCGTGGCAGGGTTGGAGGACACCAAGATACGATGCACCACAGGACTGATGTCCAGCGCGTAGGCCAGCACTGAGGGCACCTCCTGGCATGTGCGGCCCAGCAGGCCTGGTTTCTGGATGTACTTGTTATAGCAGGAGCCAATGCAGGAAAGCCAGGCGAGAAAGGCAGCCATGGGCAGAAAAATGGCCTGTACCCGGGCATGCCAGGCGGGCTCGATAGCATAGTAGAAGTGTGCCAAGGCGCTGCCAAACTGGTAGATGGCCACCCCCACATAGTCCAGGAAGAAGAAGCTGTAATGCCAGAACTCAGACTTGGCTTGCAGGAGGTGAGCCAAGGCACTGAAGGAGAGGTAGGTGAAAGAGGCGAGGACAATGATGAAGAGGGGCAGGGCGTGTGGGTCTCCCCAGAAGTCCACGGTCCCCACAAAGAGAGCCAGCCGCAACAGCAGCACCAGGGCCGCCAGCAGGTGGGTCCAGACATTCACAGCCTCGTTGTGCTGCTGGAACAGCGTGCGGAAGTAGAAGCGCCAGGTCTGATGCAGTGGCCGGTAACCCACGTAGATGTATGGCTTCCAGAAGAGTGGCGGCACTTCGGCCTGGTTCACTGTGAAGACAGGCTCTGGCTGCAGAGATGGCTGAGGCTCTTGGATGACCTGCCGCAGACTGGGCAGGAGGTGGCTGAGCTTCTGGGCCATGGCCATGGCTGTGGGCCTGGGCAGGGAGCTGGGAGAGAGGCCAGAGCAAAGTCAGGGGCCTGGTGTTCTCACCCCCACAAGCAGCAGCTGGGGACTCTGATGCCCAGATCTTTCTCCCTCCTCCCTGATACCCTTATCCTTACACTGGGTTTAAGAACAGAAGACTCATCCTATGGAATTCCTCATCTCTGACCTCATGAGAGCAAGGATCCCTGACGTATCCCAGGTACCTAGAACTGTGTCTGACACATAGTAGGTGCTCAATAAATGTTTGAGGAATGTATAATTAATTAATAAGGCTCCCTGCCTCATTAATTTTCTTTTCGGTCCATGCTATACCCAGTGACACTAACTGTTTTCTCTCCTAAAGAACAGATCTGGCCATGTGAAACACAGGGGAGGGGTCAGGCTCTTTGAGCCCCTGTGTTCATGCCACCATTAGTGTTCATCTGATAGCAAGAATGACCTTGCTAACAGACCCACTGCCTATCTAGCTCCTTGAGAGTGGCTACTGACCCTCCCTCCATTTAGGTCATTTGCCCCTACTGGCCGTCTATTATCTGGCATGACCTGGTCGCTGCTACCTTCTCGAGTCTTGTTGCACAGTTGCACAACCACAGGGCACTTCAAATCCAGTTCTGGCCCCACCAACCCCTGGACTGCTTTTTCACATGTCTGTAGCTTTGCACAAGCCGTTCCCTCTGCCTGAGACATTTTCCTCATCTTCCTACCACGGCAAAACCCTATTCATCCCTCAAAAGCTCATTTCTTGGCTATGCATGAGGCCTTACTCCTGTAATCCCAGAGCTTTGAGAGGCCAAAGTAGGAGGATTGCTTGAGGCCAGGAGTTCAAGACCAGCTGGAGCAACATAGTGAGGTGTGGTGTCATGTGCCTGCAGTCCTAGCTGTTGGGGAGGCTGAGGCAGAAGGATCACTTGAGCCCAGGAATTCGACGTACAGTGAGCTATGATCACACTACTGCACTCAAGCCTGATCTCAAGGGAGAGCCCATCTCTTAAAAAAACAAACAGGCTGGGCGTGGTGGCTCACGCCTGTAATCCAAGCACTTTGGAGGCCAAGGCAGGCAGATCACCTGAGGTCGGGAGTTCAAGACCAGCCTGACCAACATGGTGAAACCCCGTCTTAAACAATAATAATAAATAAATAAATAAAAACACATTTCTTCTATGATGCTTTCCCTGGCCTCCTGAACCTCCTATGATGACCCCTCCACTTGAGTGCCTATCAGGCCATCATTTGATGGTCTGATTACAACACTTCTCATGATTGTTCATGTGAGCTCATCAAGGGTAGGCAGTTTGTCTCATTATTTAGTGAATCCTTGGTGCTTAGCACCCAGGACGTAGCAAATGGCAGAGGCATGCTCTGAACTCAAGTCTGTTTTTTTTTTTGAGGTGGAGTTTTGCTCTCATTACACAGGCTGGAGTGCAATGGCACAATCTCGGCTCACTGCAACCTCCACCTCCTGGATTCAAGCAACTCTCTTGTCTCTT